TGGGTGGAGTACCAGAAAATGTATTTCTTTAAAAACTTTACTAGATTTCACAATGAGGGTATCTCTTTAAGACAGACATCAAGAAACATTTTGCTTAGTAGACACTGAGATAGGGCTTCGGGATTTTAGTCCTAGATGTTTTGAGATTTATTTGTTTGTTTTTTGTTATCCTGGATGGTCATTCCCTTTCACACACTAAAGCATTCTCTCTCTCTCTCTCTCTCTCTCTCTCTCTCTCTCTCCTCAAGTCATAGAGTAACAGAATTTACCATGCCAGATCAAGTTTCTGAACTCCCAAATCTGGTACTCTACTATTGGCTGTGGCCAATACCTGAGGATTCAAAAGAAGTGAAAACACCCAGAATGCACTTTGTCATTTGTGTAATGAGGGTACATGTGGGAGGAGGAGTGATTCCTTCCTGACTCCTATGGTGATCAGCATATGCAGTGAAGCAAGACAGATGTCAAGTACCTAAAAGGCGGAGGGAGAACAATTATTTTCCTTCACTTCTGTTGATAGGACCAGCAGCAATGAGGTTAAACCACGGCAAGGTAGATTTAGGTTGGACATTAGAAAAAACTTCCAGTCAGGCTAGTTAAACACTGGAATGAATTGCCTAGGCAGGTTGTGTATTCTTCATCATAGGAGACTGTTAAGAACAGGTTAGACAAACACCTGTCAGATCCGTGGTATCCACCACGCTAGCCACATGTGGCTATCTGACCGGTTGAGTGTGGCTAGATGGCTTCAACAATGTGGCTATCTGGCCAGTTGTGTATGGCTCGTTCACTATCGCAGTAGTGGCTACAGCTTCAGAACTGGTTGGACATCACGAGTGTAGATGGTGCTTGGTCCTGCCAGGAGTGCAGGGGACTGGACTTGATGAGCTTGCTAGGTTCCTTCCAGTTCAGTGATCCAATAATTTGATTACCTCACTCGGTAGGAATAACTGAAAATGATACTGTTGCTCATAATATTATCATGTCTCTTTCTAAATCCATGTGCAACTTCTTGGCGCTAAAGAGCAAAGGAGGATTCATGAATGCTACCCACATGTAAGTCACATGGCATCATTCCAACAACCTTCCCTCTACCTCACTAGAAGACTCCACCAGTACTCCAAATTCCTTACATGTAAGAGACAATGAAGAATCAGATCCCACACCTATAACACTGGGCCCACACAGTTGGGAGGTTTAAAATAATACACTCCTTTTGAGAATGCTTCCATGTTTTTAACAAAATAGAAAACCCTGAATGATTAAATTCTGGGCACTGGTAAACACAAAACACACATGAGCTTCACATCAGTAGTTGTTAACATTTGGTAATGATGCAATCAGTGAAGGGGAGGCATACAGCTTGGCCACTTCAGTATTAGTAATTCAGTTATTCTGAAGACAAGTCATCCACATGCCTCTGATCACTGGTAAATCAACTCCTTGTTCATAAAGCAGAAGCAGAGCCTTGAACCCAGCCAGTTTATATAGGTTTTTTTTTTCATTTGGCAAATAGAAAAACGGTAGTCTATGTAACATAATATGCATGCAATAGAGTTCATTAAAATATAAGTCATATCAATAGTTCCCATAAAGTTAATGTATAGTCAAAAACTGGGCTCAATAGGGATGGGGAGGAAGTCTGTATAAAATTAGCATAACATTAAAGTGAAACAATTATCAAACAAAGGAATTTTAATTTTTCAGGAGTTTGTCTATTTCAGCCTCCCCTCCTCCAAAGATGATAGAATTCTCAAAGTAATCACTTACTTTCATAGGGCTCTATCCTTCTGTTTTTACTAACTCACTAACTGTAATGGGAGTTTTAGATTAATAGAACTGAGCATTTATATGTTTAACACAAATAAGCCTTCCAAATTCCTGAAAATCTGCCTTGCTAATTATATGCATATATAACAAATGTCCCAAATATGTCTGATTATTATCTCCTGTCTGTAACTGTACCAATATTACATTTGTGCAGATCAACAATGCAATGTTTGTGAATACTAAATTGAAATAGATATTCAGTTTAAATATCAGTACTTGTCTCAGAATCAGCAATTTTATCTTAGACAGAATTATCTTCTAATATGACCCAAATTTAATAAAGCCAGGACTTTGGAATTCGAAAGATAATTGCTTCTAATCACAAAGTAATTTTATCATCTATAATCTTTAGATTTCACATTCAATCTACTTCATAGATCTCTGTTAAAAAGTCAATTATTGACAGTTTTATTATCTAACCCAAAACAAGATACATGGGGATTGATGGCACAAAAGCTCAACTGCTTTTTGAGTTTCCAAAGTTTCTTGATATTATTTTCCTGCCACTAATTTTGCAATCTATTATCTTCATGGGTCTATTATTCTTTGACTCTTTGAATTTCTACATATATTCTGACTACAAGTGTCTTTAACCTCAAATGGACTCTCAAGCAGAAGCCAGATGCCCCCTTATTCCCTCAATGCAAACTATCAGAAACCTTAGCATAACTTTACTTTGAGCCTTAAACTAACAGCATGTGAAAAGATTAATATGAATAAATTCAAAACTAATCAGATCCCTTCTTTAAATGTTGACACAGTATTATTTATATCCCATAAATACCTTCTTGACTAAAATTCATCCCAGGAGATTGGCAACTTGCCAGTTCTATTCATATTTACTGTATTTATATAGTACAGTTGGCCAAGGATAATATTTAAGACAAAATATGCCTTAGAGTATATACAATATCTCTTATAGTTTTCCTTTTACATCTCCTTATTGCTAAAAATATTTAGTCTGAACTGTATAAAATACCCCACAAAGACCTATCAGCATTCTCCAGTGATATATAGCTGACTATGAGTATAATTAGAGTATATTTGTAATACTTGGGCTGTAGTCAGTTACTGAACACTAACAACTTTGTGGTTAAAAACTGAACCACTGATCTTTCCCATGCCTTCATCTCAGCAGCTTTTGACCTTCAATGCATTCATAATGATATCCTTCTCCTTCCTCATCACGGTCCCAATGGGATCAGGAACTGCAGAGTTATGAAAATTATTCAGTGAAGTCTAGGAGAAAGTGTATATAACAGCCAATGCTGCACTTTTCATTTGTTTGTTTAAAATATGGTGGAGTGATTCCTCCCTTGCTGTCTTTTTTTGGAAAGGGTCACTCAATCCACTATAACTAGAGAGCAATGGAAAAACAGTTAACCTACTTGCTATGATGTTAGCCACAGCACTTGCACAGTAGTATGGGATCTGTTGCTAAACAGCCTTCTGATCCCAAACTTCTGATGCACTCTGTTGGTAGATACCTGCAGTCTACTTTACACTGCCAAACCCCCTGCTGAATCTTTAGTGCCGCTCTGGCTTTTGACACTATTTTAAAAATAGACTCTCTTTTGTCAACTTTGATGTCACACACCTCAGATATTTTAATATTCTGAAAAGTAAATGGCTGGGGTTTATAGTAGAAGCTCTGTGTTCGTTATTTTCTTTTGTGGAAAAGAGGGCAAATCTGTGCTCAGGATCAATGCATCTAGCCTTCAGAAATGCTTTATTCCAATTTCATAGCTGTATATCAAGGAATTGGAACTATTTTCTATGGCCTTTGTTAGTAAATAGCTGCGACCATGCTCAGGGGAGGAGATGTTGGGTCTCAAAATAAAGTTCTGACTTACATCAAAATACCAGCAAGAGTGGAGGGCGGTGGAGACATGTTTTGAAGAGAAACTGACACGATTTTTTCTACGTTCTGTCTCAATGTTATTACTGAAAATTACACTGAACCTTTTCCGCATAACCACTTGGCTCCAGCATATATAAAAAAATCTTCTTCCCCTGAGGGTAACAAGGGTGGAGTATATTTATCCTAGCTGTTATTGTAATTACAATCATAAAATGGCTTTGACTGCCAGGGTGTCCTGTACCTGATGGTGTCATTTAACCGTAAAAGAAGAAAAAGGCAGCTGCAAAGAGTGGGGTTCAGACATTTTGGCTGGCATCATGGGACTATCACATGCAAGACACAGCAAGCCCTAAAGCTACAACTTGTTAAAACTAAAACTAAATAAAAAGAAAATGCAATTAGAAACTCTAGGATAAAGTTACCAAGATGGCTCCATTATCTATTTAAGCAAGAGGTATGTACTTTTCAAAAACAGACAGCAAGAATATAGGGCATCAAGTGGAAGGTGGGGAAGAGGGAGGGAAATTAAACCGTTAGGCACTGGAGTTTGGGATATGCTGACGGTGAAGTTATTTTTCTCTCTCACTGGTGTTTAACCTTCCTTGGCATGAGTAGCTAGCTCTTTTTAAAGGAGTTTTATGCTTTTCTGCACACCCACTGCCACTGCCAAAGCAAAGAGGTATGTTGTGATGATTTTTAATCATCATGGGTGGGATATGATATCAGCACAAAACATTTCCCCCTTTTTATTCAGAATGAGATGTGTATCAAAAGTGTCCTTCAAAAAATAGCAAGGCACAGAAAAAAATGAGAAGGGTCCGGGGAAATGACACTAAAGAGAAGGGGGAACTTATCTTGACCTAAAATTAAAGGCACCATTAATTGGAAGGATGGGAGAAGTCTCTACAGCTGTCTGGCAGGGGGGAGGAAAAGAAAACCTGTGATTCTTTTTTATACCTTTTTTGACAAACGCAGGGATAGAGTGAGATAAGTTAAGGGAAAGAACAGCAGGGGAAAGAATCTCAGGTCTTGGGGAGCACACACCGTGACTTGTGTAATGAGTTTGAACGAGAGAGGAGGTGAGATCAAAACACAGCAGATCTGCAA